ACCGAAAAACCACGTCTATCAATATTCTCAAAATTTTCCAAATCTGCCAGATAGTCAAATTATTATAAAAACTATATATATATATATATATATATAATCGAATATTAAAACATTTTTATTGTTCCTTATAAATATTTATGATATTTATGATATTTATATTATAAGTATAATATATTTATATTATAAATACTTGTGTAATATAATTATTTATAATATTCTTTCTTTATATAAATTTAAAAAAGCAACAGTACTCCCGTTTGTAGCGTCAAGAGACAATAAATTAGCAGTTAATACGGAGTTATACCTTTTCCATTGATTTGTCGGAATTAGCAGGATTAACGCAGAACGAAAATTTCGACTGGGGGATACAAAGATAAGTAAATAAGTCTGCAATTCCAACCCCAAAGATGGGGGGCATAATTTATCCCATTTTACACACACACGAGCACACACAGATACATACACACGCCGTAATTGCACAGTTGCGGGATTTCTCGTTTGTACATTACACAGGCCGCTTAATGACGATGATATCGAAAGCGCGATAGACGGACAGCAAGATTGTCGATTGCCACGGCTTAGTTGCGGTGTAATTTGCCAAATGGCCGTATTAATCTGTCTAATGGATACCTACCTACCCTACTCGGACAAACAGCCACCATTCCAAAGCGACGTGTTAATTGAATATGCACAAAGTATGACTGCAATCGATTTGTACAGCGTGCGATATTCGGTACGATGGGGAGCCAGAATGATTCGCCCCCTTCCCTCTCTCCTTTCCCCTCTGTAGCGTAATAGAGGACGCGAGCGACAGTTCGTCATAGCGCGGATGTTTCCATTGCGCGCCTGTCGGATAGTTGTCGAGTGTTTCAAGTCTCTCGCGTATTTCTCGCGCGAGCAGGACACTAATGTAATCGAATATCAAATAATTCTTATTAATAAAATAAATCACGTTCTTTCGGGTCTGAAAAATAGCGATAATCATTAGTAGTGTCAAAGAACAACAGCCTGTACAGAGCACTCAGATAAAGGACGTGACGGTGGTAACTGTATAAGTGATAACCATACGAAGTTTTGTTTGTAAGATTAATGTATATTGTCTAATAAACGATTTTGTAATTACTGCAACTGAAGTTAAGTGGTTAGAAGAACTGTATAGTGCTCTCGCTTATTCGCTTATTCAGCTCACGTTAATTCGCATAGTTGCTACCATATCTTTTTGTCACAGTGTACTTATATCTCAACGTTCTTATTGATCCTCCAAATTCAGCAGAAATCGCAGAGTCTATGGGGAAATAAAATTTCAACTCAAGGGAGGGAAAATGAGCGCAGATCGTCGAAAACCTGCAGCTACAGTTCCAGAAAGGTTCAATTCTCATGAAATTCGATGAAATAGTCCCAAATACTCCTAAATGAACATATTTAAAAGATTTTTTAGCGCAATTAAAAATTACATCAGATAACGTTAAAATAATACTTGTACTGATATTAGTGATGTAGGTTGGGTTAGGTTAAGTTCGATTTTTGTGGAGTTGTGTGAAGATAAGCGCTTCGCACGTCCAAACGTGCATTATTAATACTGATAATTGCTTTTGATTTATGAAATATGTTATTTGAAATTCTTTCAAATATTTCATACAAATTTTTCTGGTATTCATTCGTGACATATAAACTTTTAAAAATAACTTAAATAACTTAATTATTTTGTTCATAACATTTTATTTTTTCATAAAAATTTTTTTATTTTATTCATAAAAAAACTTATTAGGTGTACAACTTTGCTTCCGCCGTTTTCCTATAGATGGCTTTAGCGGTAAGTGGTGGTCGAAATAAATAGATCATAGACGTCATACAATAAACTTGGGCATCTGTCATAACCCCATAGAAACATTAGTCGATTTGTGTCTGCATCATAAAGTTATTCTCGATTGAAAATGTCAGTTTACGAGCCAAATTCTCGTCATTTGCGGGAGGTTTTAATTTTCTGCTTCAATATGAAGAAATCTGCGGCTAAGGCTCATCGAATGCTCTCAAATACTTATGGTGAGGCCGCTATTAGTGAAAGAACATGTCGTGAGTGGTTTCAACACTTCAAGAACGGTGATTTTGACATCGAAGACCGGCATAGTGGTGAAAGAGAGAAGGTTTTCGAAGATGCAGAATTGGAGGCATTACTTGATCAAGACTCGTGTCAAAATCAAGAAGAATTGGCACGTTCATTGGGAGTGACTCAACAAGCCATTTCAAAACGCCTCAAAGCCATGGGAATGATTCAGAAGCAAGGAAATTGGGTGTCGTACGAATTGAAGCCGAGAGATGTTGAACGGCGTTTGTTTGCTTGTGAACAGCTGCTTGAAAGGCAAAGACGGAAGGGATTTCTGCATCGCATTGTGACTGGGGACGAAAAATGGGTTCATTACGATAACCCCAAGGGCAGAAAATCATGGGGAGTTCCCGGCCATGCTTCCACGTCGACGGCCAAACCGAATATTCACGGCTCCAAGGTCATGCTCTGTATTTAGTGGGACCAGCTCGGCGTAGTGTATTATAAGCTGTTAAAACCGACTGAAACAATCACAGGCGATCGATATCGAACGCAATTGATGCGTTTGAGCCGAGCATTGAAAGACAAACGGCCGCAATACAACGAGAGACACGATAAAGTGATTTTGCAACATAACAATGCTCGACTCCATGTTGCGAAAGTAGTCAAGACATACTTGGAAACGTTGAAATGGGAAGTCCTATCCCACCCGCTATATTCTCCAGACGTTGCTCCCTCTGACTATCACTTGTTTCGATCAATGGCACATGGCCTAGCTGACCAGCACTTCCGGTCTTATGAAGAAGTAAAAAATTGGATTGATTCGTGGATCGCCTCAAAAGATGACCAGTTTTTTTGACGCGGGATTCGTACGCTGCCCGAAAGATGGGAGAAAGTAGTGGCCAGCGATGGACAATACTTTGAATCATAAATGTATAACCAGTTTTTTATAATAAAGCCTCGAATTTCGGAAAAAAAACGGCGGAAGCAAAGTTGTACACCTAATATTATTTTATTTATTATTTTAACGTTATCTCAGTTAAAACGAAAATCAAAAACTTTTGAGTTCACTTGGGAATTTGCGTTTCATGTTTATTTGAGAGTATTTGGCACAATTTAATGAGAGTCGGACTTTTTTGCAACTACCTATCCAAAGTTTTCACATCAGACACACATACACTCACGTTCTAATTATGACTCGAGATATTAAATCTTTTATTTAGTTTATTTGGTTTTGTGAACTGTAATTAAAATTTGGAACGTCCTGATTTTTATATTTCACGAACAGTTTGAATCCGCAAGAGACATGATACGATTACGTAATAATGATGCGTAAAAAATTCACGAACAAAAAACAGTCGAAAAATGCATCGACGATAGTCGATAATCTCACATTACCGCAACCGATAGATAACTAAGTCAATTTATCCGTGTTCCCCATTTAACGTACGACGCCTTACGTAACGCGTAAAAGTGTTGTTATTTCGGGACAAGATCGAATCTTTTTGCTGCTTGTTTGCTCGCACATCGTCGATAAAGCAAACATGGCGCGACACTGGCGCGGAGCTAACGCTCTCGCCATAACCTTCTCATTTCCGCGTAAAATACATGAGTGACGTAGAAGTCTAATATATCGAGACGAAATCCCATATTTCTCACAAGAAAAAGGAGATAATATTGAGCGGTTTTTCATGAGTTTCTCTTTTCAAAACGACACACGTTTGTAGCAGCATCGTGAAACGTTAATGTAGGCTAGTCGCCAAACAGCATAAATGACGCAAACACACCCCCGACGAGAGTCCTCGACGTTAATAATAACGGTCATGAATATATGCAGCGCCACTTAAGCAGCGCTTTCCGCGAATCCGCTCGATTCGACATTGTATTATTAAATCCCAATATCACTTCCTTGGTGAAACACATCTCCCCGCCGCCTCGACCCAAAAGATTACCACATAAATAATGATCGCTGACTGTGCTCTAAATTCTAACCGAAGCGCCTTCCGGGCAGGGCGGCTTCAGCCTTACCGGGAAGGCGGCCGGGTTAAAAATTCAAATCAGCTCGGTGTGGCCCCGCATCGATTTCGTGCACGGCATGCGACAAGCCTTTCTCTCTGCACCACTCATGAGGGTCACTAAGCTGTACTTGGGACCTGCATTCAACATCCCGACATTCTCGCTATCCGCACTGATAGCTGCCGATGACGACATCGAGAAAGTAGCGCACTCCACTTTCGCGCCTCTCCGCGCTTTACGTGGACGCCACCCTTTCGACGCGTTCGATCGTACAAAATAAAACTTGAAAACTGCCGGAAGATAGCTTCAACTCTTTGTGCTTCAAGAGCGTCACAGCGGCGCCATCCTGAATTTCTGCAAAACGCTGCGGCGTCTTTCAAGTTTCACAGTTAAAGGGGTTATAAGGTGAAATGGGTTTATTGAGAATTTATTGAGACTTGCACTGTATATAAGTTGAAATGTTATCTAACTGCTTGTGCAAAAGATCATTTGAGGACTGAGATATTTGAAAGAGACAAAATTAAAAGTGACACTTTTATACGTCTCCCTTAGGTTTGACGCGCGTTACTTTTAATTTCTATTTTTAATTTCTTGCAAATTAAAATTAAGGTTTTAATTACTTGATGTGTCATTAGAAATATGACACTGAGCTTTGCAATCTCCTTAAATCTGAACTAACTGTCGCATTGGCTCGAAAACTGCTTTAATAGCCAAGAGGCACGGCGTCACGGCGTTTTTCGAGTTTTCCGTAACAATTTCTGGCACTCTTAGAACGGAAAGAGTGAAACATACCCAATGTGCGGATTTCGAGAACGACACCACGACGAGGTGCCGTTCGCCGTGGTAATCCGTAAAAATATATAGTCAGGGACTGCAGAGCGCGGCCGGTTAGCCGCACTCTCCGTCCTGCCGCACCAATCATTGTGTTTTACTACTTCAGGCGAGGAGAGGGAGCTCCGACTGAACGAGGCGAGCTTCGAACGGGCGGCCGCGCTACTCCGGCGGGTTCCGGAATTCACTATAGCCGCCGCGCTGCGCCAGGAGAAGGCCAATTCCGGGACGATCGTCGCCTTTTCGCACGGGAGCAATAGGTACGAAATATCGAAAAGTCCTCTTGCTTGAACGCCCGCCCGCCCTCCCTCCCTCGTCCCTTAGCGACGCCGCATGGTAATTCGGCGTTTCATGGCCGGAACGAAGGCCGAAGAGCCTGTGACCTATTTCAAATGGCGTTGAATGACGTAAACCGCAAAGAGGAAACATTTCGCTCTACTCGCGAGTACATCCTTTTTACAGTTTCATTCGTCCACGGAAATAACACTAGGAATATCATTTAGCTAAATATAACTGCCATAACCAAATATTAATGTTATTTTTCGTCCAAAAGGGTTGAAGGAACTATATCATTCTGTGGTATAAAGACCTTCTTAATTGTCCCTGTTCATGCCTGTTTAAATAAAATTTATTATTAATTTATAAAGTAATTTCCGCAAGCCTGATTACAGGTTAAGCAATTACAGCAGCAATCTTGCCGATGTCTCGCCTATTGTGCTTCTCCGTTAATCACTAAGCGTTTTCACTTCAATTTGTATCTGTCATATAATTTCCAAACGCATTAAACTTATCATTGTTAATACGCGGAAAAGGCCAAAGTAGGTTTTTCGTGATTGCCAGAACTTCATAAATATGAATCAACTTCCATAGAACATAAATCCCTCGCGAACGGACACTGAACATTTCGTACTTTTGCATTTCACGCTGTGATCCAGTCTCAATATCACGCGTGCAATGCACCATATCAATTTTAATCATGTCGAAGTAACGGGTTATTACGCACACGACAATCAAGCGCCATTGTGGTTGAGCTGAACACGCAACGGTTGATTCGTACGAATTATCATGCGCGCGCGTTTGGTGTTTCGTCTCTCCGCTGAAATTATTTCCACGTGGTGACTCGCGTTCTCCGCGCGGTCACCGTAGCTGGATCGGCGTGCCAAAGGAAGTCAGTGTGTCAATTGTCGAGCGACAGTGGAGGAGCACTTGACGCTGCATCCTCCCCGTCGTCGGTAAGAGAGAACTGCAATCTGGTCGTTTTGATCTAGCTGACGCAAATTGGATAGGCCTGCTGCCCTCGCGCACATTACGTGACGGTTAACGTGCCGCGTGCCGGCAATTACAATTAATTTAAATGAAAATCCAATAAGCCTACCAAAGGCCAATAAGCTTGCCAAAGCTTAATTACGTGCGCCCGTAAAATACACATCCTGTTAGCGGCGACTGCGTAATTCAATTGTTTCGCGATAGGCTTGAGGTCGGACAAGGTTGACGCTTTAATCCTTTCGTTTTCAAGCGCGCGCGACGCCAGTCGGATCATTCTCGATCAGACGGGAAATTTCACGTGACCTTGTATTGTTAACAAAGCGACGAGCGGCGATGTCCATGATAGACGCATTGAGATGGAGGTATCGGTGAAATAACTCTTGGCTAATTCGGATTCCACTAAAATACTCGATGCAAGGGACGCAATAATCTACTACATACAGTGTCCGAGACTTCCCGTGTGACATGGGCGAGCCCGTCCATTATATTTATTAAAGATAATGCTGATACACATTGTAGAGAGTATATAGAAAACAAATTTTTAAATATTGTATTAAATATGTTATTAGAGGAAAATGATTTATCTGATTAAAATCATCCTCATTTATGGTTACCATATTGTTAATAAATTTTTTGTTGTTTCAAAAAGTTCTAAAAATATTAATAATAATAATCTTATATGTATATTACATATATATTACAGATAGTTACTGCAAAATGTCGATCTGTTCTTTGATTATAAAATTTTACAATAATTTTTATAATAATAAAATTCTCTCTGACTTTCCTTTCGTTTGAATGTGTAATTAAAACTCACTTATTAAGACACATTTATGTGACTTAAAAGCAAAGGTTTTTCATTTTATATTTATGTATCATCGTATGGCGGGCTAGCCTATTTCAAATTTTATATCATAAAGACTTCTGTTATAGAAAGAAAAGAAAATATAACAATCTCGTCCTTGTACGGAACGCGTCGTATGAAAATGACAGAACTACACGAATTTCGAATAAAATCGTGGAGCGAATTGCACAAGTCCAGTGTTCATTAAGCGATAAATGATCACGAATAACGGTGCGTCAGGTATTTGGAGCTGCAGAGCAGCGGTCGCAAGAACGAGCTTCGACTTCATTACGTATCACGCCGAGACGGAACCGTACACGTCGAGGCATTCCCTTTTCGAGTGGCCGACGGCGACTGGCACAGGGTCGCCTTGAGCATAAGCGGCTCGCAGGTCGAGCTGCTGGTCGACTGTCACCCCTTGTACAGGCGACTGCTGAGGCCCGGTCCACCCGACACCAATTTCACTCTGCCGCAGCTCCAGCTCTGGGTTGGACAGAGAAACGTCAGGCACTTTCTCTTCAAGGTGAGGGTCCCTCTTAATCTTCCTCTTGTGTCTTCCTCACACATAAAAATATTTTATCGATTTAATTTTAATTGGATGTATGATTGATCTCCTTCAATTCTCCTTCTAATTATAATTCTCTATTCAATTATTAATTTCTAATATCTAATTCTTCTAATTCTTCTAATTCTTCTAATTCTTGTCTTTCTTAATTCTACCTCGGATTTTCTTTTTATTACTGAAAAATCTCCCGGAATTGACCGGGAGACCCGGTGGCCGACTGAAGCTCACCGTATGATTGTCGCGTCGCAGGGTGCTTTGCAGGACGTCAAGCTGATACCAGGACCTCACGGCTATCTCTCCCAGTGTCCCCAGCTCGACTCGTCCTGTCCCACGTGCGGTCAATTTTCGATATTACAGAACACCGTGGAGCAACTGATGCACAATCTCAACGAGCTGACGCGTAGGGTGAGTAATTGGGCGATTTAACAGTCATCGAGGGTGCGATGAGGTCCCAAACGCAATGCGGAAATCGCTGTGTGTCGAGGATTTACACTCGTAAACACAACGTTTATATCCGTTGCTACCCTTTGCTCATGGACGTTCTTCCTTCCAGCTAGCCGCTGCAGAGGGCAGAATAAGCAAAGTGGAGGAGTGCGAGTGCCAAAAGTCGTGTAGGGTGAACGGCACCGTCCATGAGGACGGCGCGACATGGCAGGAGGACTGCGAGCAGTGCTCTTGCGTTCACGGCGAAATCAAGTGCAAGCCGATACCGTGCGCTCCGACCGACTGCAAGCACCCTATCCTTCCTGAAGGACAGTGTTGTCCGGTTTGTCTCAGTAAGTGGAGCAACACCTTCCCAGCTTCTCTGTTCTCATTTGATCTCGACTCCAGTGTTAGAAAAATCGACGCGTACCGACTATAGTTCCTTCACAGAAAATAGGACAGTCTATTGTTTCCTTCTTTCTCCACTGTTGATTTCAAAGTCACGATTTCGAGAGCGCTAAATGATACAAGAGGATCCTATGATATTTAGAAGTATGTTTCACCGAATATAGTTTGTCAAATCATTCATGTCTCATATCTTTTTTGGCTTTTGAACGTCGCGTAGTTCTTGGCTTACGAGACTGATTGCGACGCGACTGGGCTCTCCTCGACGAGGAGATAATCGTTGCTCGGGCACAACGGTCGCGTCCTTATTACGCGGTACGACCCTTTCGCTTTCACGCACGCGACTGGCTGATTAGTTGACGACGTAGTTTCCTGTCGACGTGTTTCCTGTCGTCCCATCGACCGCCTGTCTAGCGTAGTGCCGCGCGTTATTTATCTCGTCGTTCACGTTCGCCTTCAGGACAGTGTTACTTGCACAACGTAATGTACGATCACGGTGAGAAGGTCTCGCCGAGACAGTGCATCGATTGCGACTGCCAGGACGGTAGCTTCATCTGCAAAAGATACGACAACACAACCATGTGCCCACCACTGCCGTGTCCACCCAACGAGCAGATCAGCGTGGCGGAGGAGTGCTGCAAGTTTTGCCCAGGTGGGTTGATTCTCACTCGGCGGATCGGACCCAGAGGCAAATTCTAACGTCCTTAGAACTCACCGCGAACAACTCCCGTGTTTGTTTTCTCGTGTCGGCGCGAAAATCTTACACATCCGAGAATGAGAATTTCATTTCAACAGCCGATAGTTTTATCGAACCGATAGTTCTTCCTTCTCTCACGTAAAGCATAATTTGTTGTTATAAACGACGTGCGTTGTAAATTTCATCATCGTTATGCATCAAAATCCGCGGCAGATAAATTTAACGTGGCATGACATAGCGATCAGCTTGAAAGAATGATAAGCATGAGGAAGACAGAGCTTTGCGACAGCAAGAGAGAAAGAGAGAGAGAGAGAGAGAGAGAGAGAGAGAGACGGAGCTTAGTTCGCATAGCTCGCACATCATTAACATTTAATTAACCCTCTCATGCATGGAATTTCTTTTTCGCTAACTCCTTAAGTCGGCGCGTATGCAATCGTGCGAAATTGCGATTACATTAATAAAGCTAAACAGCTGTTGCAACATGAATTATAGTAAGGAGGTTGGCAACAGTTATACATAATTATTACGCGGTCTATAAAATTACTAGACGCATGTTGAACGAGGCTAATATTAACTTTAATTTTCATATAAAGAGTCAAAATTCAGTTTTAAGAGGACGGTTGGTCCGCAGCGTGCAATTTCTGCTATCTATTATTGATAATAGCCAGCTCGATCCTTATTACGCATGGAAGGTGAAATCGAGGATCGACGGTCACCTCGCTAAAGCCGCTCGCTAATCGAATCCTCTCTAACCATTAAACTGTGTTTGCTTGGCTAACCCAATTTAACCAGGGGTGGACTACTGCGCGAAGGGCCACAAGTGTCACGCTAACGCGTCCTGCCTGAACCTCCAGACGACCTACGCCTGCCATTGTGATATCGGTTTCCAGGGGAATGGTGTTAACTGTCACGGTATCTAACACACTCTCATCTAACTTACCCAACTCGTTTAACTATGCTCGGTATTAATCGCGCGTGAAGTATTTCCGTCTACTTATGCTCACCAGACTTATTCGAGATCGTAAGTTGCGGGAACTTTAGTTCAAGTCGGATTCTCAGGTGACTCGGAAGTTTCGGAAACAAAGAACATTAGTATGTTTATTCGAGTAATGTTCAGCTGTCAGCGAAAAGGTTGCGTTTCTCTTCGACTTCGTGATTGGAAATGAACAAAATCGCGAGAACGACCGAAAGCTCGTCGGAGCGAAAAGAGTCGCTACCTTTTTGCCACCGAGTATATGTATTTTTTGTTTCGTCCTTTTTTGTCACTATGATTCTATCGGGTCGATCAAAAGGTTCGTCTTGATTGCTCAGTCAAAATTGATTTTATCGTATTCCATGGAAACCAATTATTCGCTACTCGAGCAATCGCCGTTGTTGTTTATAACATCCTTTGTCAACGTTCTGGAGCAAAATACAATCAGTATCGTTTTGTCTGTATTATTACATGTGCGCGACAGGATCCATTGCATCGAGCTCTTTGACCGACCTAATGCCTGAAATATGTTTCTAGACAGCGTTAGGCATTAATCCACAAAAATTTTCCTTGACTAAAATAATCGGCAAATCAATAAACAAAATTGAACAATTGTCATATATAAAATCATAAATAATTTTACCGATTAATGAAATTAATTATTGATCAAACTTTACTGTGAATGATTACACACTGATCAGTATTTAATTTCACCAGTCGATTAAATTATTTATGATTTTATATATGACGATTAATTAATTCTGATGATAGATTTTGATATTAGATTTGCTGATTATTTAAAAAAAATTTTTATCCATCAATATCCAACACTGTTTCTGAATGATCGTTGTGACACTTATTCTATTTTTTCTTCTCGTCTCGTCACTCAGACGTTGACGAGTGTAAGCAGCAAGGTGGACTGGACGGTCACCATTGCAACTCGAATACGAAGTGCGTCAACGTCATCGGCTCTTATACGTGCGAGTGTCTTCCGGGTTACCATAGACTCGACAAGTTCAACTGCGCCGAGCTGAACGAGTGCACGACCGGTCATCACACGTGCGACGAGCACGCCACGTGCGTCAACACTGCCGGGAGCTACTATTGCGTCTGCAAAGACGGTTATACCGGCGATGGTTACACATGCAAACGTACGTAATACCTTGTAAAACCCTCCGCAACGTTGCACCGGCGCGAAGTGTGACGGATGATGAAACGGAAAGGGGCAATTGTTTCTGTGTCGTTTAAACTTGCGTACTGACGGAGAAACGTACGCGCTTTTACAAATAATCTCTCTACTCTCGAGAACGCGGATCGTGAAGTGCTTACTGATGTATATGTCACATTATTAAAGGATTTCACGATACTGGAAGAAAAAGACGATTCGTATGTACTGATTTTATCGAAATATTTGTTTTCGATGTGTGCACAAACGATCGTAACAGTCACTGGCACTTCTACCATATCGATGAGTAAAACGATGAAAGAAGATTTACGAAGAGTGGAGTTTATTTTTCTCTCTCCGAGGTTCCATTCGCGAAGATCACAAAAAGCAAAGGATAGATGCTTCAAAACTCGGCTCTTTTATCGTCAGAAATAATAAATTACGCGCCACAAAGTAGCTTCCACAAACTACCATAGATCACATTGAGTTACAAGGAAAGTCAATTAAGTCTTATTAAAAATAATGATTGCAGAGAAAGATATTTCATCAGTAGATATTTAAATTTGTGCCGCACGCACAGCCGAAAAGAAAACATTGGCAGATTCAAGATAAAACTTGTAGGCTGGGGAGCATTATTAGATTATTAGAGACACAAATCGGCACTCGCGAGTCTCATAGCAAATAGAGTCTCTCTCTTATTCTTGAAAAATATCATATGCGATATTTTTCGAGAGTAAGGTCCCAGATTCTTAAATTTCAACTTTTGCGATCGTCCAATCCGCGGCGCGAGGTAACTCGAAGTAAGATGAAATTCCTCCTTCAGCCGTGTGCAATCAGACTTGCCAAAACGGTGGGGTGTGCGTGGCACCCGGTCGGTGTTCCTGCCGGCGCGGTTACATCGGCAACAGCTGCGAGCTCGACCTAGACGAGTGCGCGAGCGAGTTGCACCGCTGCCACGAGTCGTCCACGTGCTTCAACATGCCCGGCTGGTACTATTGCCGGTGCAAGCCCGGTTACAGGAGCGCCCTGCACGACAGCACTCAGGGCACGCAGTGTCTTGACATCGACGAGTGCAACGACGAGACGGTCGAGAGGAGGCACACGTGTCACCACACCGCCAAGTGCGTCAACACCGAGGGCGGCTACGAATGCGTGTGCCCGCCGGAGAGGGAGTCGAACGAGTCCGGAGAGGAGTGCAGACTTAGTGAGTTGATTTTCCTCGTTTAAATCATCCACCGTCGCATCTTAATCGATTGCTAGTTATTAGTTGAAAAAATTATCTGATGTGCAAATACTAGTAAATATATATACAATTAAGAGGATGCTGGAAATCGACATAATGCAACTTCGTATTTTGCACTGTTTTTTTCTATTTGGTTGCATAGAATTGCAAACTTATACAGAGCAAAAATCTAAATGTCAATGAATATAGCGGACTACCTCGTATTACATAAAACATTTTTAATAATTTATAAAATTTTTTTCTGCGAACATCCAACATCCTTGATTATAGAAATATGTTTTATTTAAATAATATATGACTTTATCTGAACTTATCATTTCTATCGAAAATTTCAATTTTAGCTCATAAAAAAAGTTATCAATTTCTTTTGTTTTATAACTTACTTTCAACGATTATGTATTATATACTAAACAATTGAATATTTATCTGAATATACCTTTCTTTGTAATTTTATAACTTTTTTTAGCAAAAACACGATTTAGTTACATAAATTTTTCTTATATAATTCTATCAAATCTCTTAAGCAAAGCTAATCAATGTTTTATCTAAAATACGGTTATCTAAAACAGTTATTTAAAACGTATATAAATATACAAAAATAATCCCCTACAGAGACATAAAATCACTAACAGATATACTAAAATTTCGCAGAAAATTTCTGAGATACTAGAAGAAAACATTGTCGCCTTAATTCGCATCATTTGACATATGCGCGGTTTTTCAGGCTGCTGGTACGATGAGCGCGAAGTCAACAACGGCGACACTTTCACGCCGGCCGAAAACACCTGCAGGAGATGCACATGTGAAGACGGCGTGATCACTTGCAAGGATCCTATATGCGACTGCAGCGCACCAGACAGTCAAAGTGACGCGTGTTGTCCTCAGTGCAATCCCAAGGCGTCCTGCAAGCATCAGGAGCTCCATCACCTAGTCTTCAGAAGCGGAGAACGTTGGATATACCAGTGTCAGACATGCGAGTGCCTGGTAATTAGCTCGACCGATGCGTGATGTGCATTTCTCGTCCTATCGACAGAATGGTCCCGAATCGAGTCGGACGAATTACTCGATTTGAATTACAAACCACTGTAACCTCGTCGCGAAAACGAACCTCTTTGGGAACGGATAAGATTACTTAACCAATTATCGGCTAGTGTCTAACTTATGGGATGCTTTCAGCGAATAAAAAATTATTTGATTAATATATAATTTTATTTTTATATTTTCTGCGTTTAATTTCCAGTTATTTTTGTGCCACCAACAAAGATAATTCTAATACTAATCTAAGACTTCTACAAAATAAACAGACCGATTCTCTAATTAAAAATGTTTGTGGAATATATAATGATGGCCTTTAATGGATTAATTTCGAATTTCTTGCGCATATAGAGAACGTTGGGTCATCGCGTTTCGGGAGAACGTTGGAAGACGTTGATTTACGTTCCGCTGAAATTCCACCGCTTTGAATTCGCTCGATTCGATCGACTTAATCTACTTGCCGGGCTGTTGCAGTATGGCGATATAGACTGCTGGCAGATGGAGTGTCCACCGGTGACCTGCTCGAATCCCGTGACCGAGGAGGGCGATTGTTGCCCGCGCTGCGAGGATGATCCCTGCGGTCGAGAGGTGCCGGCAAACGGCACCTCGCTCACGGTTCCTAGACCGTGCAGCTACGGCGGCATTATCCACGACGGCGGCAGCTCCTGGCAGGACAAGTGCACCACGTGCGAGTGCAAGGTAAGGAGGAGGATCGACTACGTCGCAGGATCGCCGATCCTTGACCCGGTCCCGTGTGAGACCCGAAGGATACGGGTAGGATAAGAGGGGGGGTTCGCCAGAAAAGGACGGCGCCATGGGCACGAAGGGAGAGGACGAATGGTCGCGTGTAACTAACGCGCAGAAGTAATTGTTTTATTTTTCTTCTTCTTTACGCTTATCAGCCGCGAGGCGAAGCGAGGGCCATTCCGGCTAAGACCTCGTGCTCCCATCGCGCCCAACTTCTCTCGCGAATTCAAGAATTCAAGGTCAGTAAATGAAACGAAATATCGTCTCAATTTAGCCGTGAATCTGTCATGTGCCTACTCTCAATTGCGCTCGCTGTATGATGCCGACGTACGACCAGTTGCTGTGTGACGAGCGCCATCGCAGAACATGTATGCGGAATAGATAGATAGATATACATGTATATATATGGCGGACCATCGACGTGAAAATCGTAACCAATTTCATTTCCGCACAAGACGCTTCATATTTGATTTAATCCGACAACTAATACTCATCCCATTATCCCGTCGTTATTCCCACTTTTACACGAAATAATCTCCTTGTGTTCTTGGGAGGAATCAAATTTCGAAGAATATAACAGCACACTCTTTTTCCTTGTTCTAGATGTCCTAGTCTCAAGAAAATCATATGATTCCTTAGACTATCAGTCTACAGTAGACTATTAGTCTACAGAAAACCTACACATACATCAATTAGTATCTAGTATTAGTATCTATCTATCTTCTCTTTATAATAAATCATCACTTTTAAAAACTATCAGTCCTTGATTCCTTATGATCCTTCGTCATTTGCAACCAGGACAACATCCAAAATGAAAATTTAGAGAATTAAAAAACACTCCCCAACAAAACGGCTACACATCAGGATAAATAGACAAGACAATAAAAACAAATCTGACACACAAACTTACTACTTTCTTTCCATACATATAAAGAGTCACAGATAAGCATTTTAAAAACAAATGTGACATAAAAATTATTTGCATATCTCCGACAAAAAGTAGAACAGTTTCTCAAAAAAAAAACTTCTAAATAATTTCATAAACATATCAATAATTTGGTAAAAAGATAGCTGTTTAAAATTCAACCCAATTTATATACATACAACACGAATCTCCTTTTTTTGAAGTCGATTAAAAATCTTTATTTGATGAAACTTAAAGTTATCTTGTCCGTACTTTCTTTCGTTCTCTCTTTGTCATTCCATCTTTCAAATTAATCTTCCTCTACGTATTTATTTTCAAGAGAAACGATTCAAATGTTCCTCTCCCCGAAGAAGTGAGCTAAAATGTTTACGAAACGTCGAGAACAAATTCACGAAAGACATGGCACCAATCCGGAAACCAAATTAAGTATTTTTTCACCTCACGAAATTTTCAAGTGTCAAAATTTAAAAGATACTGTTACACACATACCGGCGGTGTGTTTTAATTTCTTCTGAAACAATTAAACTCTTTTCAAACAAATAAATTTCTTAAAATCTCAGGAGCGATAGTAAAATTTTATCGAAATTATAACTGAATTGTGTAAAAAATTCGCATTCTACGACAGCCTTCATCGTTTCTCGGATCCGATCGAATTATCCGCCATGTATGCATAAAATTACACACACGAGCATTCATATATATATATATATATATATATATATATATATATATATATATAATTTTGTCTTCTTCGCTCCTTTTATTCTCTATCTTTCCGTTTCGTCGTCAGTAGATAGTCCTCAAATAGTACAAGATATATACTGACTGTTTTTTCTTTCGTGCAGTATGCCGTTTGTTTCTGCGGTGTATATTAACGCGAGTCTATTCTGCAAAGCTAAACGCTGAGATTTTATTAATCGTGCGCTGAGAGAAGAATTTTCGGTTTTCAACAGAAAATATCACACTTCGAGAAACATACACATCAAAGTGCATTTTCGTGCTTCCACAATTCGGGTCTCGTAACTCTGTCGACAAATTAAAACTATATTACGCTTTGACTAACAACTAATTGGATAATAACCGAATGAACGTGTCCTTTCTCGTATTACACTAAAATTAATATATTAACGTCAAATATATAATACTAACATCAGCGGCAACTGCTAGCGCACGTCTTCTCTCGGCGTTAGCTCTAGCGCCGCGCTGGTCTCGTCGTCACGAGATCTCAGCTGTACTCATCACTGTAAGATATTCTTCGTTCGTACATCGTTCATCGATCCGTCAGACACATCCAGGGGCGTCCCCGAGCTAGCCTAAACTAGATGTCATTTATTTTTCGTTGCCTGCCTTGCACGTGGCAGTGTTTGTCGCTCGTTCCTGTCGTCCGCGCGAGAGAGGAGCCGAATTGAATTCGCGAGTTCAAGCCCCAGCATGATTCGCAAGGCTGTTTATTCGTGTCCTCTATCCTGTGTACGAGAAGATATTACCCTTCATGCCTGAAAATCATAGGCATAGAACGCGATCGAACACTGCCACGGCCGTGAGAATCTCGGCTCCTATACATGACCGAGTTTCGGAGAAAATCCCGAGAGAACTCGCCGTCTCGCTTCTTCGTCAGGTGCTTCGCTTCACCGTCATCGTCATCCAATCATCCTGTTATCGTCACCCTAGATATAAGATTAGCAAGCTCCGAATCTTCGACACTCGACAATAGCCGAGTATATAATTTAGAATGCTTAGAAGGCAAATCGCACTAGAAAATTTCCGCAAATTATGAACCCACGCGCACACAACTACGCTATTCCGTATCTACGCTGAAGAACGTTCACTGTAAAACTGCATCGCTGTGCAGTTGCGAGACTTCCACAATTAGGGTGACGGTAGAAGGATATGAAGAGGGGTGTTTCGGTACTTACCGCCGTCTTTCAAACCACCTTTCAAGCCGTCTTTCAAATCGTAAACCATCTGGAATCGATCTTGCGAAATCGGACACGAGGCCAATATTTGTTCAGGCATTTTAACGTTAAATGTACTCTTAAATAAAATCATTTTAATATTAATTAAAGAATAACCGATCTCTTACTATCTTTGAATCTCGATTCGCGTCTAGGGCTTTTCGTCTTCAATTTTTCGTATTAAGTTCCTTGACAACTGATATTTCTTCATTGAGCTGTCTGTACACAGCTATAACAATTTAAAAAATTGCTATAGAATCTTAAAATATATCAAAAAATATATCGACATTCCGTCGATATATTTAATTCTTATTTTTATATTATATTCTTAATTTTTATATTATATTCTTAATTTTTTATCCTGCCGTTTCATACATGTTACTTATATTTTAGAAGCTGTGAAATTTACTATTAAAAAAGTATTAGTGAGTTCTTCAGTAAGATAACCTTTACTGATAGTCTATACCTACACTACTAGAAATTATGGCAAAATCAAAGAGAATTTGTATTTAAAAAAAACCATAATATATGTAACTTTATCTTTCTTTTTTTTTTTTACCACCGCGGTTGAAAGATGACGCGGCGAAACCGGAACACCTCTTTGTACAACACCTAGCCAAGAGACCGAGCCGAGATCTCACGATCGCGCGTGCTTCGGGTCGGCCCTGCATGGATCATTTTATTAGTGTTCACCGACCGACGGCAATCAATCGAAAGTGTACCCGACCTCATTGCGACGAGCGTGCACCACGATCTCGACCCCGCCGATTCGATCCGCGATCAACCTGGTTTCCATTTGGAGAACCGTGCCGAGCATTTAATCAAGGGTAGGATCCATTAGGCGCTTCGGAACATTCCAGCTGTATAATGACGTCATTAATGCCGTATATAAAGGAGCTCTTCGAAGTCTATAAAGCGCCTAGTGGATTTTACTCTGATGGCGCGATTTCATCAGTGGATGACATTGGACGACGATCGGGTCGTAGTCTAGCGTAGTCGAGTCTGATTTCGTTGGCGCCTCTGTACCAACAATTAAGATGAATCTTTTCTAAGCCGCGATATACGATCGCGAACGCGGATCGCGACGATGAGGACGGCGGGAGCTCCTGGTCACGCGGGTAGAAATAGCGTGGGGAAGCTATAGAGAGATAGATGGATGGGTGGGTGGGAGGGGAAATGAGAAGGAGGATCACGAACGGGGCATTGTCTGCTTGTGATCGTATGCTGTAAATTAACCCCGCCATCTTGCCCGTGATGACTAACCTCATAGCCTAACAATGGGTATCCTTGCAGGTGCCGTACTGCGCCCAATTGGTGAGCAATAGCGCGTGTTGTGTGCATCGGTAATCACGTCACTTCTACCTCACCTATAATCTCTACTACCTGCCTCTTCTCTTCTGTCTTTCTTGCTGATTAATGTACTACGACTAAACGGAGTGCTCGAATGCTTTCTTCGTCCTCGTCCTGCCTGCTTTAGATAACGTATTTCTTTTCTTAGCTCTCCTCTAGCTTTTTTGTATCTCTTTCCCTTCTCTCTCTCTCTCTCTCTCTTTCTCTTTCTCTTTCTTTTCTCTCGCCTCTCTCTTTCTCTCTCGCTCTCGCTCCCTTGAAATTTATATGTTGCACACACGCTCGATACTGTAGTTCTGTCGGTCCATTTCTTCTCTTTGAGGTCCTATACATTAGGACTTGATCTCATTACGTTGATCGCCGCACGTTTTGTCACCGAAAGCTTCATCACCTTTCTATCTTTCTTTCTCTCTTTGATAATCAATATATCAATGTATCGCGAGCACGGAGCATGTACATCGCGTTCTAAAGAGAAGTGTTCTCGACGTGACGTCCACAATCTTGTTGGAGAACGATGCCGTTTCGCTCTCAAAAATGCGTCATTTTATATTGCTGTATCTCTAAGCATTAATATTAAAAAAAACTTCATTATGACTTGACGTAAAAGCAACAATGAGGATTTAAATGACTTGTGCTTGACTTAGAAAAAATAAAAGCATGTAAATCAAAAGATAACACAATCGCATTCGAAACGCATGAGCGATTTTTTAACGCGACATCTTTCTTCAAAATGAGTAACGATATCTTTATTTATAAGAGCATATTTCACATGACATATAGGCTGCGTTCCGATATTCATTGCCGGTATTGTAAACGTGACGTCATCACAGTACGCCGACACAAGTGCTCCGTTTTCACAAATACACTGTCGATCCACCGTGAATAGAGAAAACAGAACGAATCTACGAGCATTGCAGCAGCTAGCGATATCACGTGGTATCGTACAAATTTTTACGGAATTGAAATATTATTTAATAACTAATACATAGAATCAGCAAAACAGAAAAAGTATTGCATGCGGTATTGTGGAATCAAGTGCTTATTTTATGCTGTTATCTTCCGCGTCTATAAGATCCACAACTTTTCCATAGGCGCCGCCATGTTTGCACCGCGAATACCTCACCGCGATAACGAAAGTAGGAAGTGACGACAAAATCTATGACGTCACATATGAATACGAAGCTGCTGCTTACTGTCGCGTACATCGGAACGGCATTCGTAGTACTGCCGTAGTATAGCCAACGAATATCGGGACGCAGCCATGATATCGCGGGGAAGAACTTAAACTGATGTCGAGTTAAATTTCATATGAGTTCCATGTCACTCAGGGTCGGTTTTTCAATAGCAGTTTAAACTTGGATTCAAGTTTAAACTCTATTCTAACAATGCGTTTGTTTTGTTTAAACAGAGTTTAAGTTGAAATCTAAGTTTAAACTATCATTGAAAAACCAGCCCTTCGTGTTGCAGCCAACCGATACGAAATTCGGATCCACGGATCGATCGAGAACACTACGTGTTTCTTGTTAACTCGCCCGTGTGACGGCCGACTGCACGTTAAACCGAAATCTGCATGCGTCGACGCACCTCTCATGCACTCTCCTCCTACTCTCCACCCGACAACGTTACGCACTACCCTCTGTATTCACCTTATGATTTACGCACACTCTGAAACGCACAGTCGTTCATGCAAAAAGATAAAAGAGAAGGTGATCCGTTCGGCCGGGTCTTTCTCGTGTCGATCGAGGAGCATGGCGCACGAGGCGGCAGCCACACAAAGCACACAGATGCAACACTTGCACACAGACACACACACAAATGTCACACGCGTACACACGCGACACACACGTACACACACGTACACACACGTACACACACCGCGGACACGAAGAATACGTGCACATATAAAAAGAAAAGCGGAAAGACACATACGAATCTTGTTCTTAGACTCGCAGTTGTGTACATTTGTGTCTCTTTTCTTTTTCTTCTTTTTTTTATTTTTTTTCCTTTTCAATCAAGTTGTCGCACCTCCACTGCACCCTCCTCTGATCTGCATTCGAGATTCGATAGAAGCACCAAGAGGTCTCTTTCTCTCTCTGTCTATCGACTTGTCGAGCAACGATTCTGGCAAGGCGGTTTTTCGTCGCTGTTGTTGTTGGCCGCGAAGTTGAATTCCGTATCGTTCAAGTGTCGTTTTGCATTAATAACGTGACCAAAAAGTCAAGATCAAGTAGACGCCATGACAGCCTCGCCAGGATCGTAGCAAAAAAGTAGTAGAAACCTAGAAATTTGTCGCCAGGTATAGAAGACATACTATGGAAATTCATTGTTTTGCCCCCTTCGAATGTCAGCATGAGTGTCCTTTACAGTTATTGTAATTGTGATCATGACCACTTATAAGTCGTCTTCTTGACCGAGAGAAAAGGTCACCCGCCGACGCGGGCGTAGCGAGGGACGCCGACAAGGGAAGTTTCAAGGGAAGTAAAACGGTCCCGGGGGGAATGTCGGATTTGCACGTTGGTTTATTGTCGCCACGGCGGAATGATTGCGGTATTATTCTACGAAACAATGAATTACATACTATGTGGACAAGTACCTGCCTCTCTCCACTGCAGGTCGGAAAGTCTTAGCGTGTTGGGTAATCGATCGCAAACGAAACCGACGGATGATTAAAGCGCCAACGTCCTTGACACTTCATGATATTTGGAGAAAAACTCTTGTAAAGTGAGAAGCAAAATATTCTGGCATCATATATTCCAAGTAGATACATATTCAAACAATTCTTTAGCGTCGCGTCAAAAACAAAAAATTCCTCCACGAAAAGCGTGTTGATACGTAAAAACCATTGCAGTTCATATCCGGATATCGTGCATTTTAAGAAACAGATTTTCACTCACTAGTACATTGTCATTGCATTACCGCAATGAATGTGAATCTAAACTTTGATCAAGAACTCGATTAGAAATTTATTCCATGCGCGGAAAAAGATTGGTTGAATTAATTTGAATTTAATGAAATACATTAATCAGACTGTTTGGTGAGAAACGAACGGAATCATAATGTTTTTCTGGTTAAAGTAACCATTTAGTTACAAATTAAATTACACCCATATTTTTTACTAAAAATTTTATTATTTTTTTAACTGAAAGTTGTTTTTCTTAAGGTATAATATATAATTATTTTGTTTAAAATTAACTCTTTAATATTTTTATTTAAAAAATTCTGATTAGATATATTTTATTAGAAACTAGAAAGTCTGTTTATTTTCACCAAAACTTGCTTAACCAAAAATATCACATTAATTTAACCAAACTCTTTTTTCTGTGTGCTTCTGATGAGGTTGATCTCAATCTGGTTTGTATAAAATGATATCGTCGAATCCTGATTATTAATAAGTTCCTGATTGTCACACTACGTCACATGACTTATCTGAACCCGATAGCATCATCTTGCATAACCTAAATAACTGACTTAGATCAACCTGGTCAGGACTGTGAAGTCAATTTATAGTCGAAAAGTATCCCTTTATATCTCTCGGCTTAAAACATCACGAACCAGCTCTCACCGTCGCGACTTCGCACTCACACGTGGCATACATTCGCATTCTTTTATTCACGACGTGCCATAATTCGAGCTTACCACGCCCGTCGTGCATACCTCTCATGTGTATCATGCCATTCGAGACTTTCCGACCCGGAGTTGATGAACCAAGACGAACCAAAAACGCACCCCTAGTTCCCTCCGCCGTGGCTAACCCAGTGTCCCACGAACCTCTCCGTAGGACGGGCAGCTTTGCTGCAGCTACGATTACGGCTGCGCTAGCGGTGTGGGCAACAACAAGCAGCAACGTTCTCCAGTCGCTACTCCTGAGTCTCACGTACGCCATCCATCGGACCCTGTGGGGTTGCCGCTGGGCCACAGTGCACCGGAAACAGATTTATCAGCGGTCACCGGCACATCCGGCACCACACGCACCACCGACACCACCGCCACGAGCACTACCTCCACCGTCTCGTCGTTCCCGTACCCGTCATCCTCCAGCATCAGCAACGACAACCTCAGGAAACCTCGCGCGAGCCCGCGCGACTCGCTCGCCACGCTACGAGTTCAGCAGGGAGACGACCGTCTCGCCAGGTCGTATCAACAAGTATCGCCAAACACGAGATACCAGCACCCCGTCGGGAACTCGTCGACGTCGTCGGCGGCGTCAGAGCGGTCCTCGGCGTCGTCGGCGACGACGACGAGGACACCGTACGCGACGTTCACCGACGGACACAGGTCGCGACGCCAATCAAGAAGCGCCATCGGCCGCCGCGGCGACGCTTCTTTCTCCTCTTCCTCGTCATCGTCGTCACCAACCTTCGCGGTGCTTTTGGCCACTTCGGCGATCGACGAACCTGGCCCATCGCCCGCGAACGTCGCCGTGCAAATGCGCCAACTGGTCGATCGTCGTCGCAAGGGCAGCAGGAAGTCCGTTGTCCTCGACAGCGCCACTTGAGGGCCGTGGATCTAGAGGAAGATAGAAAAGGAAGAACCCGACATTTGGCAAGGCATTCTAGAGCGCGTGAAGAAGGGATATCGTCCCGCATAAGGGTGACCCGTGGAGTCTCCCGGTGTCACCCGACGCGCGTCGTCCGTCTGTGTCGTTGGCGGGGAAGGTAAGAGGCGAGATCGACAGTTCGCAAGGAAAAGGAGGAGGAAGAGAAGGAAAATGAAGCGAGAAGTAGGAGAAGAAGAGGAGGAACGAGATCGACGGGACAATCGACGCTCGCGGAGGGTCGACGTCCGCCACGCTGCCACGAGGAAGACTCGTTCCTGCTTCCGGAACCCGTTTTCCGTAATCCGCATCCGGTAACCTCGAGGAGCGGTGGTCACCTCATCAACGGAGCTAGATCTAACAATCGTTGCTGTGACCTTGGCCCTAGTCCCTAGGCTCTAGATACTATCCCTAAGATCGAGATCGCCGATGCCGTCGAGCTCGCGCCATTCGCGATCGAGTCGCGGGCGAAGCCATGTATTCGCCGTTACAGCGACACACGTCGAGATCTGCCTGGACTTTAAACGGGCCGGATTTCTGGCTGAGAAGACGGTGAGCACGTGCGCGTCCAAGACATTCGCTTTTCCGCTTGAGTCGCTCGCTCGAGTTGCGGTGATCTTCACCTTGATCGTCATTGCGAGACGAGCGTCGAGACGCGGTGCCGATCGCGCTTCGGGAGACAATCGGTGCGAGAGAGGAAGGAAGGAAGAAAGAAAGTAAGCGACATATTGTGCGACAATCTGAATCGCGAGACGAATATTTCGTAAGTGGTTCTCTTCAGGTGGTGAATCCGGAAAAATCGATGTGCGTAACTTCAGATCATTATCAGACGCACTCTAAATGTCGAAATTTCTTATTACTTGTACAACTTATCACACATGTATATCGATTCTTAAAAGAGCCATTTGCATACTTCCCTGAATGCATCGATGCAATGAACGAAATTAGTTGTCACTTTATTATATATGTATGGAATTTCCGGAAGGCAGATTTGAAATAATGCATCGGAAAGAGCCGAGAGCTATTTTCTGTCATTATCACACGATTGTATAACGTTATTACGCAAAAAATTTACGGCCCTGTTCAAAACGGTAAATATAAACCGATAACATTACACAAAGTACTTGAATTTCAGTCTAAATCAATGTGTATCAATAATATGATGGTTTAAATTGAAATTCAGACTGAACGTGATCTCATCGCTTTGTACCTACCCTTTTAAGGAAGAGAACACACTTAGTACACTGAAAAAGAAATACTTGAAAATTTATTTTTATTCACAGAAATAAACTGTCCCACAAATAAATTTTCAAATATTTTTCTCTCAGTATTTAATCAATGAAAACATTGTTATATAAAATAAACAAATCACAATTGGTACAGACTTGAAACATGTCACTTTGTCACTCATTATCACGCTGAATGCTTTATTGCATCACGCGTGATGTTGAGTATGTTAGTAAATATTTCGACAAAGTATTGTTATTGTTCATAAAGATTACAGATATCGCAAGCAGTACTTTCACACACGTTACGTACTATAAAACTTTACCGTATTATAAAACTTCCAAAAGTCGCAGCCATACGAAAAAATGCGCGGTGAATAATGCGACTCTTGGATAAATTATTAAATCACGACAAATAAGCGGCATGACAAATTGCTCCGGTCGTGAGATACTTGTAAGTTCTAAACCGAAGTGTCTCGAATCCACCTTCCACTCAGCAACGATTGTCAATCGAAGACGTCGTGCGTCCTCCGTGGATCGAGCATGATCGAGCGAACCGAGGGCGCAGATTCGCTTTTGCAGAACTCCGCAAACTCCTTTCGCGTATTTGATTGAACAAGTAGCGCACAATATTTGGGCCTTATAAAGTAAATTGTTGATGTTCCGCTAAACACGTAACTTGTATGTATTGTACGTAAGCGGCGGCGAAGCGGGGGCGATATGTGTATTTGTCGTAAGGAATTGATTCCCGACCAGGGGAGGATACAGAAAATTACGCCTATATATAATATATGTATATGTATATATTCTTCATATATATATACATATATATGAAGTAAAGAAGGAACGTGTGTACTGTATTCTACCGATATACGAGTGATTCTCACGAATACACCGACAACGGTGTTATCTCTAAGCGAACACCCCTGACTGTCGATCGCCAACGCCGATGGCAACGCGGGTGTCCGTTGACACTACCAAGCATCCGCCATACGGAGGATCATATCTCGCGACAATATAGGCAACGTAGAGCCCCGGAGCATATACAATCATCGTAGCGCGTATCTGACGATGAAATAGTTACGCTTGAGAGAGTAACGTTTAAGGGTAGTAGGATAGGCGCGACCTTATCTCCGGACGGATTTCGTTTCAATCCACCGGGGATCCGAGGATCCGTGCTCAGCTCGGTTCAGCTCGGTTCCCTCGCGTTTTCCTCAGCCACCCTCGCAAGAACCTATGCTCGATTCACGGCGCTCGAATGAGGCGTCGGGCCGCGCCACCGAGGGACACAGTGGCTTTGTAACTTACAGTGTTTGTATGTGTATGTGTGTGCGTGCGTGGATGCGTGTGTGTGTGTGTGTGTGTGTGTGTCGCCGACGGGAAAAAGCGTCGTAGAGGACTTCACCGCGGATTAGGACCCGTTTACCGCGGCGATCTCGTTCGTCGTTCACGGATAATGGAGCGTAGTGTCGTGCTCTCTAAATTTCTTAGAATAAAATCTCGCTCGAAATCAGTGAAAATTCACTCAAAGCGCTTTTGAAAGTAAACCGCCTCTCCGAATCGTAAGGGTGAGTGTTTAACTCAAAATTAGGGCGGATTCTGGACTCACACGAGTGGATGTCTCGATCGGCAAATTTGTCCTTCTACACTCGTCTAGATAGACAGGTGTACGCCATTCGGTATAATGGCATTTAAATTTAATAAATAACAAATGGATTAGATATAACATCAAAAACATTAACAAATAAATTAAATTGAGCAAAATTAAACATTTATTGAGCCTGGCTCTAAACGAATTTCTTTTGCATTTCTTCATGAATAGTTTACGCCACTCATATTTATCATATAAAATGATAAACTGAAATATGAAAGAAATATGTGATCAAAATTTGCTCAAAACAACATGTCATGTAAAATATAATATGAAATACTGAACGTAAATTTTAATGAATTCGTATCCATATAACAAAAAATGTACGTTAATGTATAATAGTATATTCACTTCAATGAATGTAATCAAAAAAATTATAAAGACGTAATATTTATGTAAGTCTATCTGGGCATTTGCGGAACGATTCGATTATTTTCGAGACTCATCCAACATCCAACGAAAGTACCTTAGCACATTGAAGGAAACTTCTCCTTCGACATCAGCTACTGAGATTCGAAGAAAAAGTCAAATCATTCTGCAAACAAGTGCACATCACATTCACATTTCAATCTTCGATGGAAATCTTCACTCTACGATTCAGAGAGCGAAGTACTATATAAGCGAAAAGTCGCTCGACTCCTCGAGTGGAATTTCACTCGGAAACAATTTTAGAGAGTATTCAGCGCGTCTCCCGCTCCGCAAAAGGGGGAGAGGGGGATCGGTGGAAATACTCGAGCAATCGCAGTTTGTATCAACGCTGCCAGTTGCATCGTGTTTTTGGTGACGTACAACAGACGTCCCTCTTCGACGAGGGCAATCAACGGCAGTAGGGACGACGCGTGTCCGTGGTATCTATGTACACTTTGTGCGTGCACTGTACTTAAAAGGCCACTGTACCGAGGAGGATTTACACGAGCCGTTTGCGATCTTTCCGATCCTCGCGTATAAATCGGCTAAAACCGTCGAATGTACCTGCGGCTAGAGCTGACGGATGTAACGCTGACGGATCCCGAGCTTCCGTCTCTGAGCGCTGAGTAATTAATCCTCTCTCTTTCTCTCTCTTTCTTTCTTTCTCTCGATGCTGACTTTCAGCGGACACTAAGCAGCGCGAGTTCACGATCACGAGAAGGCATACAAACCGACCGTTCCTCAGCACTTGGCCCGTCACGTACTTTCGTAACCGACGGATCGGTTCTCGCGGAGCTGGAGTCACACACGAAGCGGACGATCACCCAAGTACAGAACGCAAAACGCGAACTCGGGTCATCGTCGCGAAGTGGCGCGCCAAGTTCGCGAGATGTACGACGAGTATTCACCTTGAAGACTTCATTTGTTACCGTATATTTATTTAATATAACGAGTCAATATAAATTGACAAACTCCTCGAAGTGTCGATTCTCCTCTGAGTTTTGTGTGTCATTTGTCGTTCTCATCTTTCTTCCTTGGACGACTCGCCCATGTACTGTCATACGTCCTGTCGTATGCACGATCGTCGTCGCTCTCAGAATCTCAGAATGAACGTAAGAGATCCGCTCGAAATCTCTCGTAAACGCGTACGAACAAACGAACGTACGAACACACTCGTACGTGAACACACGCGAAGCGATCGCCGATGGCACGTGTAGTCGTCTCGGCCCGATGGACACTCGAAGCGCATCCACGAACCGAGCGTAGCACGGAAGTCTATTAACCAGATCAGAAGTTAAGCGTTTAATCTCGCCTACCAACAATAGCCTAAGCGATGTTAATTATATCGAGAGAGATAATTGAAGACGCGATAACACTGAGTCCACACAGGTGCACACACAGATACAGGCATACAAAGCACACACACACACACACACACATAAAGTACACACATTCACGTCCATAAACACTCATCTTAAGAAGGACATTTTAGCCGTAAACGCGACGAAGGGCCTAGCTATCGTAATCATCAAACTCCGAGCGACGCATGGGGAGACTTGCGACTCCCTCGCTGTACCGTGATTAGGGCCTCCCGTTATAATTATCAGTCGGACACCCGGACGATGAACGTGCCGGCTAGCTCGAACGATTCTTTATCTCGCTCAACCCAACACGACCACTACGACTACATTCCTCTTTAACTAACAATAAGTAGGCACTAATGAGAGAAACATATATATATATATATAAATATATAAATATATAAATATATATAAAAATATATATATAAATAAATAAAGAAATGAATAAATTAATGAATAAACGCGTGTGGAGGGTGTTGCGCTACTTACACAACTGTGTCTCTCTCGGCCGTGAATTCTTTGGCCAATTCCACAGGACACTCCTCCATTTTTAACCTCCATTTTTAACAGTGAACATCTCACATGAAAGTTCTGTTCGGATATTAGCCCGAAATCAAACATAAAGCTGTAGTTATTCGCCGAAATCGTACTGTGTAAGCCGAAAACTGTTGAGAAACTCGGTGCTCTCTTAACGCGACGAACAAGTTAGCTGAATTCGCCAAAGGATTACCGAGAAGAAGACACGAGAGGGAAGTGAGAGAACACCCGCCGCGTATATTCGTATGATTATATATAAATACACACGGAACATACGAAGGACACGTACACATGTAACATGAAAATTATATGAGGGGAGAGAGGCGACACAAGAGGGAAGGAGTTAACTCGTAATTAAGTAGGACGTAATGAATCTCTGGAGGCTGCTACGTAGCGTTCGTGAGAGAGAAAACGAGGGAGTCTCGCGGCATCCGAGGACTCAACGGTAATCCGTTCGTTGAATGTGCAATAATTGGATAGTAACGTGTAAACACCGCTTAATTTGTAATCTGACTAATTGGTCGGGTCGACAGCTATCGCGCCTCGTGGCCGGGTGGGCTTTTCCGTGGGATGAGAAGAAGAAAAGGGATTCGCAAGTGGAAAAGGATCATTTCTCTCTTCGGCTCGTATTCGTCGATTCTGCACTTCATCGTAAGATATTAAACATTGAATTATTTGCAGTCTGATCTATAGCATAGTATTGAGTTATTTATAGTCTGATCTTATATTCCAAATTGTCTCAAGTGTTCGTTTAGGATGCTGTAAGAGTGATTTCATTGGCTACGTTGCGTAGCGTCTCAAAGTGAACTTCAGACGATCATAAATGTAAGATCGCACGACAAAAATACTAAAGCTAAAGTAGTAAAAGCTATTTTTAAAACTGTCTCGATTATCATCACGTTGGCGATTATTTGAACAGTTGATCGCAAATTTGCAAAATTACTGCAAATTATTGTAAATTAAATGGAAATCAATTAACATAATTTACGTAACAATATCAATGAGCCGAGGTATCAGTTAAAATTATTTATAGCAATATATTTCAAGCGACTGAAATGGTAATTGATACTTAGCTGTTTGTGTTAAATAATTTTCCAAGGTCTCGCAGGAGTGACATGTTCTGTGGCTACTTGACGAAGTATTTTTACTCATACTCTTATTTCGATCGGTGTCAAATGTAATACGTGATGCGTGAGAGAAATTTTATATCTGCAGGAAATTGAGTTACGAGTCGAACCCTAGCTGCCAATTCAGCAAAGCCGCTGTCTCACGCGTGATTTTATACGAATTAAATGAACTTTGACGAAGAAACTCCGTACGTGGGAATACCGCGTTATTGTCGAATCGGGAACGCGAAAAGAAGACTTCTGGTGAATCAGGGATGGAAAAAGTAAAATTAAAAGAAGACAAGAGCAGCTACGACGAGGAAAAAACAGAGAACACTGCGTTTTCTGAGCAGAAGAGAGGGTGAAGAGAACGAATGCGACATTCACTCCGCTAATTCGGGCGAAACTGAGAGACTGATGACAAAGGAAACACATACATACACACAAACACAACGGCAGACATACAGACACGTGTCTCAAAACTGAAAATGACCCATTATATCCCAAAACGGGGAGAGCTTTTTTTCCTTTTACCGATATCGTTACCGTCGACGAAGACTCAAAGGATTCACTAGGATAGCAGCGTAGAATACTTGCGACGTACATACAGCGCTCGTTTTAGCCACTCGTTCGGGAGACATCAACGACGCGAGTATCTTCGCACTCGTACGACTCATTGTAGGCATTGTAAGACAGGTCGTCCAGTCACCGCGGCGACGCGGGTGCAGTTGAACAATCGCGTAATTAGTAATTAATGACGCGTGCGTCTGCGACGAAGGAACTGACGTCTCAGCGCGCACCTCAGTATCATTCATCCAGAGAGAGAGAGATTGACCGTGAGTTCACGAACTTCTTCATCGTAACGATGACAGGTTGCCATCGGTGAGATATAACGGGTTGTATTCTGCGCCTTAAGCATTTCGTACGTTACACACACGCGACACACAGCGCGACGACGCGGCCGCGCCGGACTATTGGTAGGGGGAGAGTTAGGGTTAGCGCGACGAGGAGAATAATATTAATTATAGTAATTATACATATAAAAAAAATAATAATATTAAAATAACAATAATAACAACAATAACAAAGGATAACGCTGTTACTCGGATTGTATATAGTCCTGTAATGTTATAGTATTATATTAGAGAGAGGAAGGCGAACATATATATTACAATTAATTAAACGAACACACTCACAATACATACACACGTGACACACACGACGAACCGAGGGCGCGCGGAATCACCGATAACAATCACTCCGTACGGTCTAAACTATTTATAAACGGACGCTAAAAGAAACAATAAACAAACAAAGAAAACGAAGCAGGACAGTCAAAGAGGCACTAACGAATAATCGCCGGCGGCCACGCCGGCGCTTCGCGCGACAACATCCAAGAGCGTCCCTTTGTCGTTCGTCGCATTTTCCCCGTGTGAAAATTCCCCGTGCGAAAATTCCTCCTGATCGATCTTCTCTCCTGTCTGTTCCTTTCGGCGCGACGTCTCGGTTTCGACAGCGCGCGCGTACACACACATACACACACGTACACACGTGGACCGGCGCTTTGTATCGCGAAGGGCACGAGTAAATGAGGACTAAAGTCCGTGTTTTATTGTTGATCTCTCGGCGCGTCACGCGGCAAGAGAATTCGCGACGAGAAATCCCCGTGTTTGGTTTGATAGCGCGCGACACTGCTACAATTGCACGCAGGACTTACGCGCGAGACACCGAATTGTTTTCGTGTTTTTTTCCCCCGCCGTGATGTCGCCCGCTCGTATTCCGCGGTGTCACAATCCACAATCTCTCATTTCGTCATTGAGTAACGCCATAATTTGTAGGGCTATGTAGTTTGCTTAATTGTCGCGCGATATTCGTCATATAATTTTATCGCCGCGCGATCGGTTTATCGGATTTCCTTGATATCACCGAGTTAACGAACGTTAAGCGCACTGACAGAGGTTATTTATTAAACATATCAGTATACGTTACTCTACAACCAGAATTTAATATATGTATATCTTAAGGTGTCGACTTCTTTCGTACAACTTATTTTTATATTGCGGCTTCTTTGCGTGAAAACCGTACGTCCGGAGTTCTTATTATATATCGTCCCTCATTGAGCCCGAGTAAATTATAATTCTCTAGGAAAGGGACTTTACATCCTTTTTGCCCTATGCCCTTCGAAATAGTATTCGACTACATTGTAAGTAGACGTATGATCTAATGTATTATTGATATAACGTATAGTATATACGGCGAAATGACTTTCGAGACGCGCGAGCGCTCATCGGTGAACGAAGGCTGACGGTGGAGATGAATCGTTGATCGATCGATCGGCGCTGTACACTTTGCTTGGCAAAGTTCATTATAAAGTGATCGGCACGCGGATCGATCCCATCGAACGAGAATATCGTTGTACGTAACACACACACACACACACATACACACACACCGGCAACGGCATCGCCTTACTTCACACGAACCAAAACGAAAGACCGAGGGTGGTGTCCCCCCTCCCCCCGCCGCGAGAATAAAAACGATGTGCATCATGCAGAAACGCTTTTGTACAATCTCGAGACCTTACTTGTTCTTTGTATGTAAAAACGTATGATCGTCGATCACACACAAACAAGGATTTTGTAAAAAAAGGAAAAGAAAAAAAACGAAACGGGAGAAATATTACATGTGTAGGGGCCCAGCGCGGTTGCGAACGGCGATAATTAAACTCGACTTATCTCTACCGACGAATGTGATCCGGAGAAAACGTACCGAGGGTCAATTGACAGAGAAATCATCGAATGTGAAATATCGAAAAGAGACGAGTGACATTAATCAAAGATTCGAGTCAATTAGTTCTAATAACGAATAATAATTTCGACTATAAAAATTGTACCAAGTGTTGACCTCATATTGAAAAATACATCTGAGAATTACGTCGACGTCTTCGGAGTAGAATTCTATTCATTCATCTAGAAAGGCGATATATATATTTTTAGACAGATTGAATCTCTTTTTCCCTTTCTTCCCCCGCGCCCCTCTCTCTTTCTCTTTTCCTCCTCTATCTATCTATTTATCTATATCTATCTATTCACTCATTTATTTTTTTTCTCATCTCTCTCTTTCTCCTTCTCTCAGACAGGTAGGTAGACCGATAATGAAATCAGATCAACAATTAACAGAACCAGAACCGTATCCGCGTAAAGTATATAGCGGATATTTCTATGTATATAATGTTCGTTTTTATTATTCTACATCTCATAGAACTTGATCCCTTAAGTGGACACGCCGAACATAATAATACACTTAACGAGTTTGGCTTCGAATCGATCGAAAAAAACTAATAAGATCATTCTCCCGTGAGTCTTTCGAGACCTATTGTCGATCTCAAAACCAATCGATCTTCAACTAGCCTAACATTTAATATTATAAAAAGTGTCGAGCTCGTCTGCTTCGTGAGTCTGGTAAACGAAGACGGATTTCTTCGCGAGGAACAATCAGCTCCTGCACGGAAGAAACGCTCAATTCATATAATCAATTTTTCGTTGTCTGGAGATAGGATACGGTAACTCAGTTGCAGGAATAGAAGGATTTCTATTCAGAAGTGTAATCCTTATTTAGTCAATCTTTTTCAGTTTTCTTAATCGAGTTATTTCAACGGTCGAATGTTCAGGCGAATACTTTCAGTCACTATAACAGCGAAATATCGTTTCTCAACATCGAGTTTTTGTCTGCTCCCCGTTCAGTTATCGAGATATTTTGCCATATGTATGCAATCAGAAGAACACATGTCGAGAGAGATAAACCCGATTTTCCTCCCCCGTCTCTCTCTCTCTCTCTCTCCCCTCCTTCTCTCTTTTTATCTATCTATCTATCTCTATCTATCTCTATCTATTTATTTATCTCTCCTCTTCTCTCTTTATCCACTCATTGACTCATTCTTCTCTTTCTCTCTCACCTCGTTCGATGATATCGAACGTTTGCGATCGAGACTTCGATCGTTTGCGGTCCGGTGGAAGCTTTATGCGTGCCTAATACGATCAATATTATTGTCACAATGCATGTACCGTCACTCAGTGACTGCGGAACAATTTCCTGCGCGATCGGTGACGTCACCTCGCTACCCCATAGGCACTGACAGTAATCGGAAGCGTCCGGAAATCTCGTAGCTCTACTCGATATATTCAAGCACGTCAGTGCGCGCATGATGACTACTAGTAGTGCGCGTGATCAGTAACAGAGATAATTACTACAACGACTACTAGTAAGCGCTTGTTGTGAGATGCGCGAGGGAGGTCCGTTGTCAGGAAGGCCGTTAAGCTCCTCGCGTCCATCTCGTTTCTCACTTTGGTCTAACACTTTCGGAGAAAGAACAGACGGAGTCGTCAGTCCCGCCGCTCTAACTGCGAGCGGGGGAGGCGAGATCGTATTTCCTAATATACAGCGAGAGACTACTTAGTAGTGGTTGGCATTATCGTCACTGCCGGGTCTAATATCGCGGCTTGTCGTGTTAGATTACGTTAGAACACCGATCAGGGTACAAGACGATCGTCGTCTCCTCGGAGAAAAGGTACCGTCTCGGCGAGACACAGTGTCGCCACTTGTCCCGAAGATCAGCCCCGGAATTTCGTCGGGGACTTATATCATCAGCACTGATTGTGAAAGTGATATGCGAGAGGGTGCAAAGCCGTTCGTTGACATGCGACATGAATTTCGCTCGTAACAATTAGAAAGTTATCGATATGTACTACTATTTCACACGCTCACGGATCGAGATACAGGGGGAATTTTCTCCGAGGAGACATAAAATGCGAAAACGAAGTTAAGCAGTGCTACTAACGTTACTAGTATACTACTCTATTCTGTATTATATTCGAACATGTGTCGTTGCCATTTTCGTACGATCGTCGGTCGCGACGTCATCTATAGTCGTGGTTGTCGTGGATAATGGTATAAATAAAACCGAGGCGGAGAAATATTCAGAGAGAAACTGTGCGTTGTGCCACCCTTACATAGATATACCCTATCTCGGTGATATGATGTAGGTACTTATGTGAGAGAGAGAGAGAGAAAAAAAAAGAGACTCTATCTTATCCAGATAAATTCTCTCACCATTGGAGCAACGAAATTTACGTAATGTCTCGATAGTTGGAGTTATTGTAATAAGACGATTTATATGAGAGAGACATAAAAAAAGAAGAGAAAAGAAAAAGAAAAACCTAACCGTTCTCTCACATAAGTCGCGTGTTTATTCAGAGTCGAACGATAGGACTGTTTAATTGGACGATTACGAGCGACAATCATAATAAGGCGTTATTGTTACAGTATTCATTTTTTATGGCCTGTTGATAATTTGCAACATTTTAATTACAAGTCACAGATAATGCTTTTTATTTCGCTGGCGATATAATTCCGGCAAAATGTTACTCGTCATATCACCGACATGAGGTTTATCGTATTTCTTTTAATTGTCTCTCAAGTTTCCTCTCTTCTTTCTTATCTCTCCCCGCGTCGTTAAGCGAATCTCTTTTGACCGAACGTAATGTCCTTGGCCGATTTAATATACGAAGGCTGTGTTGCAACTGCATTTGCACGATTCAACCGTCGATTGTGCACCTGACGCTGCGGGATCACGGGAAAGTGGAACGTACGAGTCTAGGAATCCTCTGAGGAAACGCGTCGTAGTCGTCGCTGATCGGCGGAAGAAATCATCCAAGTCGATTCAAACGCGATGAGACCTAAAGAAATCACCAAAGAAAGACCCATGAAAAAATTATTATTGTTTTAAATCGGCATTGAATAGCCATCTCATCGCGCTATCAATGCAACCGTCGAGTTGTCGCATTAAATCGTCGGGCGCGGCTGCTCTTCTCCAATTAATTCTAAAAGAGTGAAATATTGGAAACTTGCTGAAACTTATAGCCATTATTTCGTGACGAGACTTGGACTACAATGTCTCAAATTTACAGTTGGATCCTTCCGCGAGACTATTGGCATACGTGTGTCGCGTGTCCTCATCTTCTTCCAGCCGTTTGTAGAAGCACATGAATGAAGGCCTGGCTTCTCATAAAGGATCCGTCGATCGCGGCGACGTCATCCACGCTTCCGCGTTTGTTGCGAGACGAATGTTTCCATGTACCGCGTGCAGAAGCTGACGTAATCGCCTTAATTACGCCTTTATCAATCACGATTTTCAGCCGTGTACGCGCGTATGCACACGACTGAAAATCGTAGTAAATCTAATGATAGAAGTGTTAAGGCTATTATGCCGGTTTTTGAGGTACAAGATTAATCCGATAACCTATGAATTGCTGTGCGGCGATTGCGCCACTTAGGAACGTAAGGGGCTTCGTCATTTGTCTAGTCAGATACAGATAAATACTTTTGAGATATCGCCTAGCTGTTTTTTTCTTTTTTTTCCTTTTTATCGAATATACGTAAGTTTACTTTCTTTTTTCCCTTTTTTTCGTCCGAGAATCCGTGCGGATGAACGATTTCTGTGCATCGGGAGACGACGAGGACGACGATTGAAGATGCAGTTGTCCATGTAATGCATCGCCATTGATCGCTATTATTATGATCACGAGTAATTATTAATTATAATTATTACCATTAGTTGTATTATTATAATTGATCACGATTATTACGAATACGATTATTAGTTGCTACTGCTGCGGCCATATAATACCTTTATAAATGAGAATCAAGACACTGACGGCTAGGGAAAAGAAACTTAATAAATTGAAATTCTATTAATTCAAAGGCGTTCGATCATCATTCATGTCGACTCACCTTATCCTTGAACCGCGACGAACCGGGACACCGATGAATAGAGAGAAAAGGAAGATTAAGCTAGGCGCCAGCGTTCTGCATGAATTTTGCTTAACAATAGTAAGACTAGCCGAGTCGAAATTTGGTTCTACATTAACCTTGCAAATTATATCGAACATGAAAGACCAATGGAGAATCTTGAAACGTGACATTACATAGATTATTATCCTTGCAAATGGATGCTTAATGCCACTTTCTCCAGTTGCAGTTTAGACTTATCGAAAATGCACATTGAACACAATGAAATTGATCACAAACATTGAAAAATTGGAATAAGAAGTTCTTTGGCTCGTTTATTAAGGCTTGTCTACAATATGCGGAGTAAGCTCGGTATAAGTTGTGGAGTAAATTATTTTTGCTTTACTAAACTTACTTTGAGTTTATTCCGCGCATTGTAGACGAGCCTTTGGTGTTTATTTTTATTTGGTTTTATTTTATTCTTTGGCATTGATGGCGTTAATCCAGAATGAAAGGAGTTCTACGTGAACAAATGAGTATCAATGTTTTCATCAACATTGCAAATCTCAATAAGATCTAAGTGAAAATTTTGCTAAGTGCGCGCGCACGCTTTAATGTTTTAGGGCTTAAAAAGAGCATCGATTTTTGTGTCTCGTCAGTCTGGGTTCCCAAATTACTATGTTTGATTATTCTTCAAAAGATCTACTTAAATGATTTTCAATATTACGCAATTTATCTTCCTTGATATGATATAGATATATTTTTAAAAGTTCACATAAAATAAAATCGACATTGTGATAACTTTTTTCCATTTTACCTTTGTATTGTATATCTATTCCTCTTGGATCCATATCGCGATGCTTGCCATGTTTGTCCCATGTGCCATATTTATCATACTTATTCCATTCATTTCTGATTTGCTTTCGTTTCTTCCCGATTTACATAGGTCGAGGTCACTATTCACGCACTATTTCTGAAATATGACGAGACGCATTCGCCAGGGCATGAAAAGTCGAGAAAGACACGTGGAAAATTGAGAGCGTAGAAAGATAGAAAGGCACAAACATATAGCTTATTGCTATTCACTTATTGCGAAGAATGTTTCAAATCAATAATGACTAAAGCGATCCAACTGCCATCCGTCATTTTAAACAAATTACACCAATGATTCAAGGAATATCTAAATGCAATCATAATTATAATCTTTATTGCAGTCTCCAAGTATTCCTCTTTTTCCTAATTTATTAAGACTTTTATTATTTCCATTTGTCAACGCGTGTAATTCACGTGTGTAAAACACCTGTTTTACAAAGACAGTAGTAAATATTATACCAGGTGTATAGATAATTTATTATCATTAATATTTTAATGTCCATGAGTCTAACTTGTTAATACAAGACATGCAAGTTTATCTTCTCCTAATTAACGAGATCATATACACAAAGAATGTTAAAAAGTGTATATTTCTAAAATAAGATCTTAATTAAATATCAAAATGTTGCAAAAAATCCACATTCATATCAAGCGATACGCAGTAGTATCGCGAAGCCAAGTGCAAGCGCAAGCAACAGGCTCGCGGCCGACGCAAAGCACTTGGCGTGTATTTTTTTAATATTACATCGATAATCAATATAATATTTTGATAATTATTGAAATAAGAGAACTGTTTGCTTATAAAAAAAGACACGCCAAGTGCTTTTTGTGTAAGTTATTATAATTTTTTTCAACATTATTTCTCTAATTATTTTATTTTTTATTTAATAATATGTTACTAGTATATTAATAATATATTTAATTTATAAATATATTATATAGCCAAAACCACATATGTTTATAAAAGTAAAAACTGAAATGATCAATTATTCGTACTTGGCGTAAACCTCTTGATATTATTACTTTTGTAGAGAGTATAAAATTGTCTCGTATTTTTTAATAGAGTATTTGCGAAAATACAATTGATCTGAATAAGGTTGTTTTAATAATATTTTTTTAAATATCTTTTAACTCTGAGCTTTTGTTGTAATTTATTTATAATGATTTTTTAAAGACAAATAATGATTTTTATGATTTTTTTTAAAGACAAATAATGTTAACGCACGTGCATTTGGTTTCTTTTTAAAATTTTTTTCAAAAATGTAATTTACGATAACACATGTTTACATAACGTATGTAAACTCATTGTGACCTTGTTACGCCAGTAATCTTATCTGAAAAAGAATATTCGATGACCTCCATTTCGTATGTTGTTACCGAGTGCGTTCATAAAATTGTAACAACCTGACAGTCTCTTGTGACAGTTCGTCGAGGATCAACCTGTTTCTGGGCTCATCAAGACATTTTAAAGAAGTAGAACCCAACGTATTTCACGTCGTAAAATCAAAAAGACGCGAAACTTAAACACTTTAATTGTTTTGAAGACGTTCGGTATCCTTAAAAAAATAAACTGTCATGTCAAAATCAAAGAATCTCGCCAAGTTCTCGGCCGAACAATTGGAGAAGTTCTTCGCATCTTTCGACGTGGTATTTTCCGATATTGATGGTGAGTGACAATCCTTCGTAGTGTGATCGAAACCTTTAAGCCAGTGCAGACAATAATAAACAAAATCAACAAAAATATAAGTGGTGTCGGTTTTTATTTCGCATTTTCGAGTAGTGTTCAAACAAGAACATAGCAATATGCAATATAATTTGACACAGTATTAAGTAATATTATTTTCGGGACTTCATTTTCTCCTTTATTAATATTTCCGTTCATTATTATTTAACTAACTTTGACGGTGTATTAATTTATTAAATATGTATGTGTGTATGTGTGTGGAGTATGCCTAGAAATGTTTAAAATATTAAAGGGATGCTATACACACTTTATTGACAAAATACTGACTTTTTTCTGCAAAGTTTACGTCGTATTAGTAGCACAGAATCACAAAACTTTTACACATTAAAAGTATGTACATAACACAGGCCGAACACATGAATTTTTAACTAGAAACAGCAGCATGTAATTCTGAAAATTTTTGACATGCTAAAACCAAATCTGCAGACTAAATTACTCCATCATGTCAGATTTACAAGATATTCTAAAAGTACCAAAAGGTTTATTTCGGCCATTTTTAGATTAGAATATTTTGTAAACTTGACGCAACAGAGAAATTTAGTCCACGAATTCGAATTCAGCAAGAAAAGATCTACGGAAATCAGCTATAAGGTTCTGTAAAAATAGAAATAGGTCAATATAGTAACATAAAAAAATACGTCGGTTAAAAACTTTTTGTATTTTTTAATGCATATTGGAAATTTCAGGGATGTCTGCAATCTATCGAGTTACTTATAAATTAATTATAATTGAATTAACTGAATTGGCGTGACATATCTCATATCAGATTTTTTTTCAACTTTTTATTTATCATATAAAATTCGCCATTTTAATTTTTAATATATGAGCTAAATTTCTAATATATGACTAAATTTACTCTTAGATTCATAGTTCGGAGAGAATTTGTTAGATTTATACTAGATAACTTCGAGATTACATCCTGCCGTTTTCGGATAAAAAACAAAATATTTTTTTGTAAATCTGCGTAATGAGTTGAAATATTGCTCGATATGTGACGAAAACAATAAAAAGATTTTAAAATCGATATCTTAAAATCATTATTTTAAAATCGATATCGATAAAATCAATACAAATTTACAATACAAACATTCTGCGCATATGTATGTACTACATCTGTGTGCGCTGCGCAATGAAAATTTTAACGAACATTTCTGTATCTACAACTCAATTTAGAAACTAAAAAATACATGGAAAGTTTGCAGAAAGATTTCTGCGTGATATTATGTTTCCTGTTAGCATAGTTTTATATAAGCATATATTTATATAAGATCTATATGTACAGGAAATACGAAAAAGATAGTGTGATCGTGTTAGTGAAAATCGCTTCTATATCTATCGACATTTCTGGAGTTCGACATACTCTTAAATTCCTTTTGAGTTACTTGCTTTTGTATTTTTTTATCTGAACTTATAGTAAATATAAATTAGATATATTTTGTATCCTTACACCATATTTTGCAAATTTTGATCACTTTTAATTAAAAAACACCATTGTGTTTAAAATATTTTTTAAAGTATTATATAATAGCTTATACACTCTATACGATAAAAATATTTCAATATGTATAACTATATTAATAATAAGAGTCAAATGAAATCTCAAGAACGAGAAACAGTATTTCTGTTATCGTTATTGAAGACATTCATTTAGATACTAACTGCTTTTAAAACACATCTAAGTACACGAACCGAGTTTCTTTTCCCGTGTGCGTTTATATTTGATTTCAGACGAATATGAAGTTACGCAAATAATTAATATAATATCTGTATTTTCCAGGAGTCATATGGCACTTCGGCAGACCCATCAAAGGTGCTATAGAGTCCTTAATAGCACTGAGTAAATTAGGCAAAACGGTGTATCTAGTAACGAACAATAGTACGTACGAAATCAAATATTTTATCGAAAAATTTCGACGTGGCGGACTTGAAATAAATCCAGTAAGTATTTCTGTTACTATCACCCAATTTCACATTATAAGAAATTATTAGGTTGGTATAAGAAATTCGTCAATCACCTATTAAATTCTGATTTGTAAGATTTTTCGTTTTGGATATAAACTCATGTCGAAATTTTAGTCCTACATTGGATCTAAACTTTCTAACATCTGTATGTTCTAAAGAATTAATATACATATAATATAAAGGTGTCCCACAACTGATAGAATACCCGTTAAGGATATGTAGGGGGTGAAATTTGGAACTGAAAGTTCCTCTTCCATTTTTGGATCCGACAATTAGTTAATGAGATATTAATTAATTAATTCTGCCAATCCCTTAGCGCCCCGAGTGAGCGCTCAGGGTCGTAGGACACTGTGGACTCTTCACAGGTCCTGTTTGTCCGTTTTTCTCCCCTTTTTGTATTACAGAGGATTAAATATGGATGAGTGAGTGAGTGGGTGTGTGGATGAGTGCCTGACCGGGGCTAGGCGAGTAGCAAGTTTTCAATGTATGGGGGTGATGTATGGGTGTTTTTGTGTGCAGTTATGAGTGCATGGATAATTTGAATGTTTTTAGTGCGAGTGGGCGGAGTGATTGCATTTTATGTGACGAAGAGAGAGGGCATGTATGGTATGCTTCCTTCGAGTGCGTGGATGACTTGAATATTTTCTACATGTCGGTGGTTGAGTATCGTGAATGATTTTAGTGTGTGTACAAAAAGGGAAGAAAAACGGAGAAGCAGAGGCACTGAGGAATCCACGGCGTCCTACGTCTCTAAGTGCTCACTCGGAGGGCTAAGAAATTAGCAGACTTAATTAATTAATATCTCATTAACTAATTGTTGGATCCAAAAATGGGAGAGGAACTTTCAGTTCCAAATTTCACCCCCTACATATTCCTAACGGGTGTTCTACCAGTTATAGGACACTCTGTATACAGATGAGAACTAATTGAAGATTTATTTAGTATCTCTAAAACGAAGAAAACGCCACTTATACAAATGAAATGCCACTTGTACAAATAAAATGCCACTTGTAAATACTACTAGAGATTAAAGAGATACTGAATTCGATAACGAACTTAAACAATGTCAATAATACGGAGACGATCGTTACTAATACAATCACGCTATTCTTTTCGTAGTTTTTGTACATAAAGATTTTACGCAAATGTATATTGCTTTGTTTTATTATATTCAGCGGAAAATCTAACCACGTATATGTAGAAGTCTTTCCGTAAACTTTTTGAATATTTTTAAGTTTCTGAATTTAGATGCAAAGTAATTTTCTTTAAAATTTTTCTATTTAAAGTATCCACACGGTACGTACAAGCTATGGAACTTTTGGATTAGGCAAATATTACGCTGACAGATTTTACATTAAAAATTTATTTTTTGCTCTCGTCACATATTGAGCAATGTTCCTATTTATTTTTGCACTTATTTCTATTACGTAAAAATATTTGTAATTCTGTACAACTAATACGACATAGTAAAATATCAATATTCTATCAGTAAAGTTTTCAGCGTCAGCATCCTCTTAAGTACCTCTTTCACGCAATCGTGCAAGTAAACCAATTAGTCACATTGTGTGTATAGTCTTTTTTCTTCTGCTTGATAGTCGTGTAAGTAATTATCACTTATACGGTGCTATTATCACACATAAGATGTGTACGCATCGTAGAATTTGTTTTTGTTGAACGATTCAGTTATATCAAAACAATTTTCATCGGGCATTTCTAAACGGATATGTGTTAAGCGTTTAAATGTATATTCGAGAAATGGATGAAAGCGTGAGTTCTAGTTTCAAAGAATATTTCTCGGCTAGCACGTTAAATAGAATCAAAGAAGCTTGACATATGCTTCAGAGTATATGCTTCAAAATAAGCATTAAATAAAATACTGAAGTCGAAAGTAGAAAATTTCGACTCGGGGAAAGAGAGACATTTTTAAAATATTTTGCACTAATCTAATCTTCGCTAATGGACTATCTTCGATAATCTAATGGACATCGATAACAACTATATCAATAAAATCGGTATCGAATAGACATCGTATAGATAAAATCGTTAACACTTGAAAAATCTTTTCAAAAAGAATAAAAGACCATAAATCCCATTCAGCGCATGCGTTTACACTACAAACGTTATTATCCTTCCCCATTACATTACAATGACACGAACATCAGCACTTAGCTCTTAGTGGTCTTATTACTATCATGAAGTTAGAGAGTTTTCTAATTTGGCAAATAATAAGCAAATTTCTGAGCTGTCAGAAATTTACTTATTGGAACATTGTTATTGTTTCCTCAAATAATCTATAGTCATAGTATAGACATTTCTAAAAAAAACATGTCTGCTCCAGAATATCTAGTAACACTCGATTTTGTAAATATTATGCCGAACGAGCAGGGGAAGCGAGTGACGATCTTGATAAGCGTCGATAACGTAGAGTGATCATCAAAAAATAGAAAACATTAGGTCTGTTCTTTTCTTCTGCACTGAGACTACACTGGAACTGTACTGGCACTGCACTACACTAGCATTGCACTGCAATACAGTGTAGGAGTCCTGACAAAGAGGAAAAGAATGTCACAGGACAATGAATAACATGGCGCGTCACATAGTTTAAAACTGGAAGTTAATTGATTCTTCAGATGAAGAAGAGATGCTTGTAATGTTGCAACCACCCTTAAAAACTACCCAGGTAGCACAGAGAATTAAAAAAGAATTCAAAAAGAATTCAATCGTATGTCACCAATTCTGAGTTCATTTTCAGATGTAAAAAAAATTTTTCAGAGTCTAGTTCAGTAAAAAGAATTCTTTTTGTATCTAAAAATGAACTCAGAATTGGTGACATACGACTGAATTCTTTTAGAATTCTTTGTGCTATCTGGGCATCTTTAAAATTGTGTCATTTTTCTGTTTAACTCCATATCTAAAATAAATATGTAATCCATTTTATCTGAATAACTGCAATCATATCATAATTACTTTAATTATATTGAATTTTACCTTAACAGGAATTTTACCTTACAGGTATTTTGCTATTAAATTATTATGCCACTTATTTATTTATTTGAGGATTCCAACCTATTCTTATTCGTGTACATCGCCATATTGCACTACACCGTTGCCCTAGCTCGAGACCTAGGGCAGGCTCTAGGGCAGGCAGTGTTTTGTTGTACTGAATACCGCTGCACTGAGGAAAAGAATAGCGATGATGACATCATAAAGTCGCCGTAATCGTACACTTTAGTGTACACTGCTTGCATTAGTGCCGCTAGTGCAGAGGATAGACCTATTATCATCATTTACGATATCGCATTTATGTACACATAAATATTTATAGAATAAAAACGATCGTCAAATAGACGCCAACAGGATATCGCTATCATCTTTGCACAAATGTTATGCAAGTGTGTGTGCTACGTCATTTCAATTTTCTTACACAGACGTTACGTAAATGTGAATGTCACTTTGCCGATATTCGCATTCTTTCTGAAATAGGCTCTTGCTACTTTTCTAATAAATTCTTCAAACCGCTTGTTACTATTAGATCAAAGAAAGAGTTTTTAGAGAAGAGTGTTGTAGGAAGTGGAATAATTTTTTGAAAAATACGTTTATTTGATTTACTATTATAATTACCCTGATAGTAAAATGTCAGCAATATGCCGACAAATTGCTGGCAAAATCAATCATAGGATTGCAGCAAATTTGCAGCATGTATACTACTATTATATTGGCATTATGTCGGCAAAGCATGCCAAAATTACTTGAGGGCAGAGTGCTGTAAAAACCGAACAAGACGTGTCGAGCAACGTGTGACGACAAATTTGCAGCAAACAGCGAGCAAGACGTGCCGAGCAAGGCGTGATGGCAAATTTACGGCAAAAATCGAGCAAGATGTGCCGGCTATGAACAGGCCAAAACTATCCGAGTAGAATTTGCACCTTATGAGAATCTAGTCATTATATAATAAAGTTGTATCCAACAGACACATACACATAGTTATTAGCTAGTGTAACTAGACAGTGATGAACCAATAATGTAACGCTTTTGCGAATAGCTATATGCAATATATTAACTAATAATAAGATAAAAGAAACAACATAATTATGGTAAAAAACCAAACTAGTTGCTAGGCAATATCACTTTTCCTAATGAGGATATAACATAAGTTACCTAATAGTTAGACAAAGAAAATATAACTAGTGATGTAGTTTATTTTCTGCATCAGGCATATCTCATTATCAGTAGATAGACTGTCCTAGTTAATATTTTTAGTTCTATGAAATGCTATTTGTGTCTTTTAGAGATGACACACCAGTGGCTTTTATTATTAAACTCTTCCTAATTATGTAAAACGTAAGTATTTCAGTGTATATTGTCTTGGAAAAAATTCCTTGCTCACATTGGATTTGAACTCGAGATCTTTGGTTCTTCAAGTCTGTCGTCCTATATGTTACTCCACTTCAACTTCACTAACAAACGTGTTTCGTACGGCCCTCATATGTTGCATGAAATTTGGCACGACTTGCTCGTCTTTTGCCGTCACGCGTTGCTCGGCATATCTTGTTCGATTTTTGCTGCAAATTTGTTATCACATATTGCTCGGCATGATTTGCTCAGTTTCTGCTATCAATATGCCGTCATACTACTAATGATAGCTTGTCCAATTTTTATCAGCAGTTTGCTATCACGCTTGCTAACAGGTCGTGTCGCAATATTGCACACATTTTGCCGACATTACTTGATATAGCAAATCGTGCTGCAATTTTGTCGTTACTCTGTTGATAAAACTTGCAGCACGCTTTGCCGAAATTTGCTTTTGGCACGTTTGGCTATCAGGGTATAATTACGTTTACTATTATTTAAGATTTCAATATAATTAGCAACGGTAATTTGAGATATCATTTTCATTTCGCACTGACCAATGTTACACTTTATTTTCGCACGTAATTTTATCATATAAATTAGAGCAGTCAGTACGCTGTAATTTTTGAAAAATGAAATCAGTGTCACGATAGTAATAGTTCCACATTGTTTTTATCCTTGAGGCAGGAATGCTCTATTTCACTTATGCGTGTACTTTTGCTATACAAAAACATTTTTAATTTGGTTAAGTCAATACAAAGTAAAATTTGTTGAGAAATGTCGTTGACATGATACCGAATACCTTGGCAAAACTATTATCTCGTGTTGATTCGGCAAAATTAAAAACCCTTTTGTATGATGAAATTACGTGCGAAAATAAAGCGGAGCATCCCACGTGATCCGGGAGACGATGCAGAGCGAAATAGTCAAACTTCACGTCATTTTCGAAAATACATCTTTGGGAACGCGAAAATTACTGTAAAAAATTATAAGATATTATCCTAGAATGTGCTTTAGATGCTAACACTATATGACCTAAATAACCTGCAGTAACATGACCGACTTTCGGCCAATGCGCGAGAATCCAACATTCCTACGGCGCTAAGTTGAATTTAACGTTATGAACGCGACTTTGGGCTATTGGAAAATTATATTCAAGACCCCTGGGCGTATTATTAAGGGAGTAGAGTGTTATTAATCACATCGTCATCCAAGAGGCGATGCAGAGCAAAGAGAATATGCACACTTTACGTTATTTTCGAAAATACACCTTTGCAGACGCGAAAATTACGTTAAAAAGTTGTAAAAAGGTATCCCAGAATGTGTTCTAGATGCTAACTATATAATCTTTTTTTTTTTTTAACGTGGGGAAATCATCATGGACACCTTCATGGAAACACGGTAATTACCCGTTGCGGTGAAGCCCACAACACCTGCTCGCGTGATAAGTACGCGTCTCAATTCGTGTTAATTATTGCCTTAATTGTGGCGAAATCAAAATGCGGTATTAAAAATCGGCGCGGAATAATCTAGAAGATAACGCGGCAACTCCCAATGCGTTCGCCTCGACAGTTGATAGTGCTATGATATGACGTTCGAGCACGTGCTCACGCACGTGTTTTACATGACCCGGCTGCACGTCCCCCTAAGCGCGTCCCACCAACTATATATATATATATATATATATATATATATATATATATATATATATATATATATATATATATTTTTC